TAACCTTCCCAGGAACCCTGAACTCTTGCTTGTACCCAGGGAAACTGCACCTTAGGGAAATAAATGAGTTGCCCGAAGGCACCCAGAGAAAAGTGGGGCCCAGAGGTGAGTGCTTAGTTGTGTCTGATGCCCCATTGTTCTCGAAGAGTGATTCAAATTCCTCGACTTGGTTTATAAAGAACTTTCATGACTGGCCCCTGTTTACTTCTCCAGCACAACTTTTGCCACCAGCGCCTTGAACACCCGGTCTGGTTGGTCACCCTGAGCCATTTTCCATTCCTTCTGTACACCAGGCCCCTCTCATGCCCAGGGCCTGGGCACGGATTTCTTCTGGGCTGGAACACCCCATACCCCCACCCCATGCCCCCTGCTGTATGCCCATGCCCCCTCCCAGTCCATACCACCACTGTTAGGTTCTCTGCTTGAGGCTGGTGGGTTCCCTGAGACCCTAGGACTCAGCACAGTGTCTGCTACATGAAACGTATTCAACAAAACTCTTTAATGAACTGTATTTGTACTGAGTGTCTTTAGTGAGTAGAAAAGGTTAGTGAATCTTCCCACTTTATTTATAATTAGGAAGTGATTTGGGCTTAGAAGAGAAATTTCCAGGAACAATGATGATAAACTAAGGGACAAATCACAAAAGTATATCTTAGGAGAAATGATACATATCCATAATCTGGAGAAAACCTATCAAATTTTCATATGCATTAACATTAAAGATTTTCAGTATTGGAAATGTATGATTATCCAAAACACTTGAGGGGCCAGGCCATGGCATAGCAGTTAAGTGCGTGCGCTCCACTGCAGTGGCCAGGAGTTCGGATCCCGGGTGTGTACCAAGGCACTGCTTGTCAAGCCATTCTATGGTGGCGTCCCATATAAAGTGGAGGAAGATGGGCACGGATGTTAGCCCAGGGCCAGTCTTCTTCAGCAAAAAGAGGAGGATTGGCATGAATGTTAGCTCAGGGTGGATCTTCCTCACACACACACAAAAAAACTTGATATTTAGGTGAATCTGGTTCATCAGACTGCATTATGTATTAAAAGTGTTAGAAACATAGCTCTTTAACTTTGAAATAAGATTAAATAGGCTTTATCTGCACCACGGGAAAACAACATCACTTCATTTACTTCATGCAAAAAAAAATAACATCACCTAGATATTTAACCAGTAACACAGCAAATATCACGAATATCTCAAATGTTAGGTAGGATGAGTGAATTATGTTTGTTTCCTTACTTATTTTATTGAGTCAAGCTTTAAAGCACAAGTTTACTCAGGAAAAGGACAAGGGGACTAGCACGTGTAAGTCATTGCTATGGCCATTCTAAGGGCACCTTAAGATTTTTTATGTGCATTGGTCCATGTATCTCTCCAAATATGTAATTTTATGCAAGGTAGTGATTTAAATAGTGAGAAGAATCTGGCTTGTTGGTAAGTGTACTTTAACACTTGATATTGAAATTCAAATGATGTTAAATTTTAAATCATTTTCATTTGATGTGTTTAATTCCTGGGCCAACCTCTCCCCACTCACTGTTACTCTCAGATTATTTAATGTTGTCCCTCAGATAAAGGCAGAAAACTGCTCAACACAGTGCCTGAATCAGCCACCCTTGTTTCTCTTGGAATAAGACATGAACCTTGTTTTCTCTTCCAGGGAATGTGAATGACCTCTCTCTTTCCACTACGAGGCATAGAATTTTATCCAAAATGAAATATCGCCCCGTCACTACACGATCAAAAAATGCACGCGAAGGAAAAATTCTTCAGATGGTCATTGAAAACCGCTTTTCATTTAGACCTGGTTAGCTCGCTGGGTGGACCAACACATGATCATCAAATTTGGAACTGACAGAATTCATAGTCAGCACAAAAAGTTAAACTTTTTAAAAGTTATGTCTTCTCTAAAACTTCAATCTTGGTCTTATCTTCTGACCAGACTATAATCTTTTAATAAAATTTGTAGCTTTCTTTCTAGTGGTTTGGGAAAGAGTAAGCAAATGTGCTCTTGGGTCCAGAGACAACATAACTCATTTCTTAGGGGAATCTTACAGGAAGGATTTTTTAAAATTGTTATATCTGTAGATAGAACTAAAATAATATTGCATCTATAAAGCGATTTACAGTTTTATTCATCATTTTCCACTTTTTTTAATACAACCCCGTGAGGTAAAGCCAGCTGAAATAATTATTGTTGCCGTTTTACAGATAATTGAACAAGTTTGGAGAGGCTGAGTCACGGTCCCAGCTGCTGAGTGTGATGCTAGGAGGGGAACCTAGATGTTCTGCATCTTTGTCCTTAAACCTTTGCCTGAACTGGTAGGTAGGATGTGAGCTACTTTATGTAACATATCGCAAGACATCTTAAGCCACTTGGCAGGCCTCTAGTTTCTCCTAATAAGGTTTTCTTGAGTCACTTGACAAGGTGGGAAAGAAAACTTTTTTCTCCGAGCCAATTGGCTCGGAGGCTGGGGCTCTAAATTGAACTGACAAAAGACAGATTAACAGAAGAAAAAGGTTATTTCGTATGCATATGGGTGGCCTCACAGAAATGAAATAAGACATACACCATTTGAGCAAAGGGCAATAAATTTGTGGAGAAGTGACAAGGCAAAGGAAAAGGGTTTTGAACTTTAAAGGGCAGTCAACTGTGGCAAGGTAAATATATGAGGAAACTAACAGTAAAGTTTGTTATGTAGATTCCTCTTAGAGCATTCTCTTAGCCAGAAGAGTCTAGAGTCATCTCCAATGATGAAGCGTCACTCCGCTCTTCCTGGTAAGGGAGAGGGGACTGGATGCTTTCACAAAGGGAAATTTATGCACCGCTTTTAGGCAAATGGGGGAGGGTAGGGAGCTTTTTCTGTGTCTATTGTTTCTCAATGACCTTCAGTTCGAAACAATCTTTATGCTAATGTATCGTATTTTGGGGTGGCATATTTTGATATCCTTCAGCTTCCAGTGCCAGATTACATAATTCTCCAAAGCATGGAATCTTAAGTCAGTTGTCCCAGTCTCCTGAGCTCAAGAGTTGGTTCCAAAAGGGCCCTGGCTCCTGGACTGGTAACTTTGGAAGGGAGGATAGAGAGCAAAGAAGTAACAGAGGAGGGAGCTTGAAAGACAGACTCCACCAGTGTTAGTGTCGCCACAGCTGCTCTAGTTTAACCACATCATCACCCTCCATTGACTTCAAGATGACTAGAATGACAGTTATTTACAGGAATCCAAGAATTTTGTCCATATATGAAGGCACAGAGACCAGTTGATTTACTTTTAAAACACTGACGAGATGGACTGGAAACAATTTTGCCCACATGACTACATTTATTGTCAATGAGAAGGTTATAACGATTAACAAAAAAGTCATATGTGTTTAATACAACATAAACAAATTAAGGCAGAGAATTGAACCAATTGGGCCGGCCCCGTGGCTTAGCGGTTAAGTGCGCGTGCTCCGCTGCTGGCGGCCTGGGTTCGGATCCCTGGGGCGTGCCGACGCACCGCTTCTCCGGCCGTGCTGAGGCCGCGTCCCACATACAGCAACTAGAAGGATGTGCAGCTATGACATACAACTATCTACTGGGGCTTTGGGGGAAAAAATAAATAAAAATTAGAATTGAACCAATTATCCAGAGGGTTAAAACCAAACCATCCTCCTCCTGCCCACTCATCAAAAAACTACCACCATCACTCTTCCCTCCTCTCAACTCCCACCACCAAAGAAAAGCCATCAAATTACTTTTGACACAATTATCTTGGCACATAAAGCATAAGACATTTGAAAGTATGAGTTACTCAGCAGGCCTAACCTTTAATTCCACACTTTGATTTTGCTAGTTTCTCTAACATTTGTCAGAATTTTAGAGTTAACTGTATTGAGTTATAATAAAAACCTATGTAAAAAGTAAACCCAACAAATATCCACAGCGGCACTACCTCATGGAATTTATTTACTTTCCTATCTTATTGTTCCAACGTGGCTGATTATGACAGCTCTTTTTGGTGCATGTCAGGGATGAATTTGCAAAGAAAAATGAAACATTTACATATTTACCCATTTATGGTTCATATTACCATACATATGCTGCCATTTAACATCTGTGAAACAGGAATAAAAGAACATTCAGCTCTTTTACTGTCTCAAAATCCCATTTATCTTTGCAAAGGTAACCACTTTAAAACCCTTTCAAAGGCTGTGTCTTCTTTAAGCAGGCCGTGAAGCCCCAGGCTATGGGCTGCCACCAGATCCTGAGGCCTGAACACAAGTTTCATCATCTACTTAACATGCTGAATTCTTATTCTGGTCCTTGCTTCCTTGCCCTATCAGAGAGTTTATTTGGATCCAGCAGCTCTCTGTAATCCCTCTCTAGATCCTTAGGATCAGTGACCTAGGGTGTCATTTATTTATCCTGGGGTGTGGTGAGGGTTAGAACATCAAGAAGATCCTGTGAATTTAACAACGTTGTAGCTTTGAGGCATTTTAGCAGATATCCTTAGGCAATAATAAGAAGGTTACTACCCAGATTGGTAGTACCTGTTGGAAACTCCTCTGATTGGAAATATATACTATAATTGTGCTATGAGCTGGCACAGTACTGGGCACATAGAAAGTGTTCAAAAATATGTAATAAATATGTAATAAGAAAGCAAGATTCAAAGATTAACAGGTACTAGTCCACACTTTGGTCAAGATCAATAACCAAATTAACCAGATGATTTCCAAATCCTCCCTTCACTTAGTGCCACATGGCCAAGTCAATAGTGAACAACAAAAGTCAAACTAACTAACCAAGCAATTCAGGCCACAAAATCTTCTACTGTAAACTTTCTGAGCTTTAGTGCACAATTTTCAACTTTACATTGCAAATATATATGAAGATTTCTAAGTGTTTCCAACCTGTCTCTTTTAAAATATGCAGTGCACACATCAACATCTGAACAACAAGTGAGATTATATTATACTCTATTATACAGGAACTGATAAACAAACGAAAAGCAATAGTATATATTGGAATATATGAGGAAGCCATTTGGTTTAAAACTAATTCAGCTTGACCTTGTTTTTCCAAAAGGGCCTGATGTGGCCTGTTGAGCATGCATTGTACATCTGCTTTAAACATCTACTATGTCCCAAAGACAAGAATGATGCCCTTAAAGATAGGGATGTAACTCCCCGCCATATCGTCATTTCTTTAAGGATATGCATTTCTTCCTGGAGACTAAGGATTAATTACCGACCTCCTGTGTTCATCTTGTGACCACTGACTGACCTGCTGACCACCAACCTGCTGTGCCAGCTAAGCATCTCGCAACAGTAGTGAAAGAGATATTCCTGTCATATGTGATGTATGCTCTTTGTTCCAAGATGGTATATAACCACTCTGTACACCCCACTTCTTGGGTGCTCTTCCTTCCTTGGGGAAGGAAGGCCCTGGGCTATAGTCCTCAAACTTGGCTTATAATAAACTCACCACAATTTTGATTTATAGATTGAGTATGGATTATTTGTGTTGACAGAATACACTTATTCAAAATAGAAAAATAAGATAGTAATTACCCTTGTTGACATTTCTTACTGTCTGCACATGGAGTTATTATCTGTTCAGAATCAGCTTCCAGAAATGTAAAAGGCCAACGTGAACAAGGGCTGAGGCAAATGGATGTGTCTCCCCCTACATCCTGAACCCATCAGAGTAGGAGACACAACAAAAAACAGAGTCTGCTCCGTAGTGATGAACTGGAGAAGACTCAGGCTCCCTAGGGACAGGGGGCACCGTCATAAAGCCAAGCAGAGGAGCAGGGTCATCACCTATGTTGTGAAAGTTGAAATGCTACTTCTGCCTGAAAGAGCTAGAGACAGCGTGGGATTAGGTATGCAGGTAATTCTCTCAATAACGGAGGCTTGGGCATACTACAGGAGGCTTTCCTGCTCTGCTCTACTGTGTTAGTCTGCTAGAGCTGCTGTAACAAAAACACACTGAGTGGCTTAAACAACAGGAATTTATTTTCTTACAGTTCTGGAGGCTGGAAGTCCAAGATCAAGGTGTTGACAGGCTTGGCTTCTCCTGAGGCCTCTCTCCTTGGCTTGCAGATGGCCATCTTCTGACTGTGTCCTTACATGGCTTTTCCTCTGTTCATGTGCATCCCTGGTGTCTCATCTTCTTCTTCTAAGGACGCAGTCACATTGGATTAGGGGCCACCCTAATGACCTCATTTAACCTTAATTACCTCCTTAAAGGCCTTATCTCCAAACACACTCATATTGTGGGGTAGGGTTTGAACATAGGAATTCCTATCATTCAATCCATAACATCTACCCCAGGACAAAGCTGAATAGATCTGAAGTAAGCACCATAGTTTTCTATTTAGCATGTATAATATGTTGAATTCACTTTTGAATTGCTATCTTTTTGTGTTTGGAGGCTGTGGGCAGCTGCAATATTATGGATCTTTGGTATTTGGGAAATATTTTGTATTTTAGAAGGACCCTTTACACATATGGGGTAGAAAATTAGTATTGCTTTCACATAATGAAAAAAGAAACAGATTCAGTGAGATTAAAATGCTTAGTCCAAATCTCACCATTACAGAGTGTCCAGGCCTGCTGCCTGTTTAACTTAGTGCCATGGCCATATTTGAAAAGTTTCTGGTTCATGTGATGCCTGTTTGTTGTACAATCTGGAGCAACACACCAGAGCTTTTTTCTTTTTCATCATCTAACTTGACAAGTAGGAGACACCTTACAATGCTGCTACAATGTAAGTGTGATATTAATTCTGCAATGTGGGATGCACAATGAGATCTGAAAAGGGGGATTGGCTCTTGATGTACCACTGGGACCCTGAATTTAGGTGTGGGGACCGAGGGAATGGAATCCAGATCGAGAAAATAAAAGGCAAAGCAACATTTCATGGATATGCATTTACAATCATCACAATCCAAAAAGCCACAAGACTACAGCTGACCTGTAGATTCTGCTATGAGACTAGCCCAGAAATCAGAGGGCCAGCTGTACTTCATTCTTAGCATGAAAACACACACACACAGAACAGTACAATCTTGAGCAAGTCATCTATCTTCTTGAGCCTCAGACTTAGCCTCTGCGAAATAGATTCTTCTGCTTTGCCCACCTCCCAGGGTCATCGTGAGGACCAGGCAAGGCACAAAGACTGACACACACAGACACACATGCACAAGATCTTAATCTTAATTCTTTCTTCTTTCTACTTCCTAGATAAGCTTCAGACATGTCTCTGAAGAAAACAAATCATGTTAAATTATTTCTGTACCCTTCCAACCAAAACCAGTATAAATATTTGTCTATTTTCCTATGAGTTCAAAGAATTTCCACTATATTATCATTAGCATGTGGCTTGCTGGTCCATAGGCACAACCACACAGAGAGTAATGTTCCCATTTTATTTATGAAGACAGAGGAGAGGGAATAGAAATGTTAAACAACTTGAAGGAGGTCAACTGTAGTTCGAGGCCAAGAGCATGGGCCCTGGAATCAAACTACCTGGGTTCTGCCCCTTGCTTGCTCTGTGACCAGGGCCACCTGTGTAATCATGTGTGCTTCAATTTCCTCACCTTTGGGATAATAACAGAAGCAATTAAAAGAGTTGTTACCAAGTTTAAAGAAGAAGATGTATGGATGGTGCCTAGCAGATATTGTTGTTACTGCTTTCAAACAGCTAAGTGATAGCAGAGCTGGGGCAAGACCCTGTCCTGAATTTTCTGAGAGGAACCCCTAGTTGCAGCTTGTCCACAGAAGGTACAATCAAGAGGCTGCAAATAGCTGGGGAATTTGGTCCTTAAACACGACCCATGTTTAAACCCACCCATTCTTTGTTTTGTTTGAATATAGAGCAGAGAGTGGGGTGAGGAAGTGGTCAGACTTCCCCGGAAAGTCAATGACATGCATCAACCTTGTCCCAGGTCTCCCTGTATTGAATCCACATGGCAAATCTCTGTTTTGCCTACATGCCCGCTGCCAGGTCAGCTCCCCTGCTCCAAGGCTGCCTCTAGCAATCTCCGCACTGCCCCAAAATCCCACCATTAGAAATGCATCCCTTTAGGGGGCCAGCCCCATGGCCGCAGTTGAGTGCACGCACTCCACTACTGGCGGCCCCGGGTTAGTGGCGGCCCGGGTTAGGATCCCGGGCCCGCACCAACGCACCGCTTGTCCGACCATGCTGAGGTGGCGTCCCACTTACAGCAACTAGAAGGATGTGCAACTATGACAAACAACTATCTACTGGGCTTTGGGGGGGAAAAAAAGGAGGAAGATTGGCAATAGATGTTATCTCAGGGCCGGTCTTCCTCAGCAAAAAGAGGAGTATTAGCATGGATGTTAGCTCAGGGCTGATCTTCCTCACAAAAAGAGAAATGCATCCCTTTAGATTTTCATCATTTTTTAAAAATTTTCCGAAGTCCCCTTCCCTAAGATAAATATGGCTTTGAACAGTTGTAACATGACTTTTTCATGAGGAACTCAAAGGTCAATGTTATACCTCACAGCTTTGATGTAGGCAAAATCTATTTAATAATTTATCATCATGCACATTTTCCCTCTGATTTCTATCCTAAGCTTTTACCATGAACTAATTTCTGGCTCAGTGTTTGAACATTCCATGTCTCCTTCCTTGTTCTTCTCCTGAATCCAAACTCACTCTAAGCTCATTTCCTTCACAAAAAATTATCTCTAAGTGACCCTGTCTCAAAGAGCTTTTCTCTGCCCCTGAATTCTTGTGCACTTGGATTATCCAACATTAATTATATTATTTTTTTTAAATACACAGTTTGTCTTTGTGTAGGGGGTTGGGGGGGTAATCAATCTTCCTAGCTAGAAGATATATTTCTCAAGGGCAGAAACAATTGCTTTTTAGTTCCATGTGAAATGCCTAATACACTGCTCATGCTCTAAAACCTGAATAAATATTGTGTATGAATGACAGTACAAATTCTTTTAGCAGTAAAATGAACATATTCTTTTAATATTTGTTCTTTTTAAAAATAATATACTATGCAGGCAGACTACACAAAAAGTAAAGATGAACTTTTAAGCCATACAGTTCACACAAATATACATTATAGTAGTTTTGGTATTTAGATCCAATCTGTGTTATTTATTAAAAAAAAAAAAAATCTTCCCTGATCCTTGAAAAATGTTTTCAGAAAAAATATCCCTGTCAGTTGGAGGTCCTTCTGAGGCATTACAAGTGAAATGTCCAGGATTTGCTTTAAAATATGCCAGCAAAAAAGAAAAAATAAAAATCAAAGGAGGAGCATTGAAGCTGGGTGTGGGGACATGGAGATGCACTCTACTTTTATTTAGGTCTGAAATTTCCAAAATAAAAAAGAGTAATAAAAGAAAAAGAAAGAAAATCTCTGAGATAATAGTGAAGCACGGTTTTAACCACTTAGAATCCAAACGATGAAGGGGGGTGGTTAACAGATGTTTATTAACAGTCCCACAGGAGGAGTCCACAGCAGTCTCGCTCAGGAACGCAGCTGCAAAACTGGCTTAGGAGCCACATCAAGGGTGTTTCGTTCTTTTTATGGATTCTTTGAAGAATTGCTTTATCACCAATAGTTTTGATGGCTCAGAAGAGGATATGGAGAAAAACAGTCATCAGCGACTCAATCAAAAGTCAGAAGAGTCAGACCCTGAGTGGGAAAAAGAAACTTATTTCGCTTATATTTTTACTTCCATATATGTACAAGTAATACATATTTTTTAAAAAGACTATGTCTAATTAATCTATCTCTTTCTATAAGCATAACACAAAGTCTAAGTGATTAAAAATAATAGTAATAAATAAAATAGTGACTACTCAAATATTTTTGAATGCTATTGTGCTGCCAGGCGTTTTAGGTGTTGCGGACACATCAAGGAAAGATCTGCAACCCCATGTTCCAGTGGGTTGGAGGCAGATTTTAAAAATAATAATTGTGTGGACTGTAAGAAGTGTTGTTAGGGTTATGGAGACAAATAACGCAGGGAAGGGAAATTACGAGCACAAGAGGCCAGAGGAGGGAGCCTTCCACTATATATGCAGTGGTTAGAGCAAAGGCTCAT